CGCAAGAGCATACTCTACGTATAAACAATTTCTAAAACGAGGTACGTTATTGACAAACAAATTGATGAAACAAGAATATCAGCAGTCTCGTTTAAAGTCATCATTTCGTAAGTTCTATGGTCGATACAATGACCTTGTCAGCGAATACAATCTATCATTAAGTCAAATGCTGACTGACTTTTTTCATACTATTTTTTAAGCCATTATTTACACACTGAATTGTCGACGGATTTTTCCGTTATTTCCCAATCATGACAAAAAGCACACGGCGGGTGTGACCGGTCGGCAGGGGATGCTCACTCCTCTATAGCATCTGATCCCACCTCTGATGTCTTAGAGGTCCGTGTTTGCTCTGTTCCTATTTTGTAATGTTTAATGGACTTTTGAACTCGAATACTGTTCGTTATCTCCACATATTTCATTAAAGAAAATACGAATGCGATAAATGATCAGTCTTCGATTTTACCAGCGACTCTCGGTCGCATTACATTCGTCCATTAAGGATAAACCATTCTCTATATTCCCAGTCACTCCTCCTATTACTGTTGTGGTGTCACTTTCCTGGTAGTAGCCCCATTTAAGACCTCATTTCAAATAAGACCACTTTCAATAACTTTGAAGTGTTTCGATTAAACTACACGGTTTTATGGAGAAACGTTTCATGAGAGAGTGTAACTGACATGTCTTCCACATAGATCAGCTGATTTCTATATCCTCTCCGTACCAATTACTGACTATTTCCTTCAGTTTTATTTTTACGACTACACCACTTTAAGTTTCTTTTTTGGTTTAAAAGTGTTTTAATGCATTCTGATGGAAATGAATTTTCGATTAGTATACGCCGCAGTATGAAAATGAAATTCATTTGGACACGAAATGAAAACATTTAAACAGATGAAAATCGTGATATAATGAATACACGGCGGCTGCCAAGCGTAATTTTACGGACACACCATCATCATTTCGGGCAGTAATGAAACCTCAAATTGAATAATTGTCCAATAATCACGGCCTGTGTACTGCCGATATTGCCATAACTCTCAAGAGTTTAAGAACGAACCGCCAGAGCACAGTCGAATTCTAAACAAATTAAATCTCTCCCAAAAAATAGTAATAATAAATTGTTAAAAACGTATAATTCACTAAAATACTTTTTCATTAAATATTCATTATATGGAACCGGATAAAAACATTGATTATGTAAAAAAAAAAACCTATTACAGTGTATAATAATAAAGTCTAACAATTTTTTAACATTGAGAATATCAATATCTGTGACTTATATACATGTAAAACTAACATTGTCCGAAAAGTTTCTGTAGATATTTTTCATAAGTTATGGTTTTAAATTTTATGCATAACTAGCACTAAAATGAAACATCTAAATATTTTTATTGAAATATGATTATGCCTGTAGAGCTCACAAATAGAGGAAGTTAACGATGTAAAAACTGGAAAAGCTGGTCTTTCCATTTGTCTTATAGTTTAGTTGATAGTTGGCCATTAACGTCTAAAGTGAGTAAAAATCATCTGAGAAAAATGTGACAGACTGCTGTTTTTTTTAATTTTGAGTTTACTAGGATATGTCGAATCGACATATGGATGATAGTAACTATTGTAAAGTGATATACATCGTCGATATACTACATTGTATGTAGATAAGAACAGTAAGCAAGCTTAAAAGTCCATTGAAACAATACAGATAGAGATCAGAGGAAACGCGGATCTCGAAAAGCATCAGAAGTGATATCTGGTGCCATGGAGGAGTCGACCGCTCACACCCGTCGTGTGCTCCTTAATTATTATGATCGGACAAACAGGAAGATCAGTAGACAATTCAGTGTTTAAATAATGACCTAACAATTAGTATGAAAAATGTCAGTCAGCATTCGACTTAATGATAGGTTCTACTTGCTGACAAGATCATTGTATCGACCATAGAACTTGCAAAATGTTGACTACAACCGAGGCTGTTGTTATCCTTGTTTTATCAACTAGTTTGTCTATAGCTTGCCTCGTTTTTGAAATTGTTCGTACGTAGAGCATGCTCTTACGAATTGAATCAACTGGGGGCATTAACTGAATATGCGGGTGATAAGGTTAGCAAAGTTGAAGTCATCACGTTTATCATAAATTTTAGTTGTTATGTTACCATTAACGTCTTTTTCTAAAATATTCAAACATGAAAACAGATGTGCCATACCCTGTGGTATCTTTTACTTTTACTAGTATTTCAAGTTCACGGGGATATATCGAATCGACATATTAATGGAAGTAACTATTGTTGATTGATAATACGTCGTCGATATATCTAATTATTATATAGTCTATAAATAGTTCCTATATAATCCATACAAATGCAAATGGTTCATAAACTACATATTCACTGGATTTGAGGTCGTATTCACCGGAGGGTCAGTGCGCGTGCAGCGGCATTGTGACGTCACAATCAATATCTTAAACAACGTTGAAAACAATGGTTGCAACGGCCGGAGCCAGCCGTGTATCTGAGCAGAAAAAAATGTTAGGCAAGTTTATAGCAGGATTATTTTCCAAACATTTCGATGTCTTACACACAGCAAAAAGAAAATACGGAAGTTATAAGTTGTAATATGGACATTTTTTTCTATTTTTCAACGACAGAGGTTCGTTAATGAAAACGGTATCATCATGCAGCCTTCAATGTCTTATTTATTCAAATCCGGACTATATAATAAAACAATTATGGACTCTTTCGGTGGTGAATATGGTTTGTTATTCACCAGAAAAATATCAATATTGACCGAGGCTTCGCCGAGGCTTCGCCGAGGTCAATATTGATATTTTTCTGGTGAATAACAAACCATATTCACCACCGAAAGAGTCCATAATTGTTTAAAATCGAGTTGAAAGCCACAGCAAACGTTTTCTTCTTCTCTTGTAGATGTTTTTGAAAAAAATCTACTTCATATAGTCAAACAGAAAATAGATCTTTAGGAAAAGTCCGTAACTCAGATAAGGTTGGTTGGGGTTTATTGTGTTTCAATTTAATTACAACATAGCATTTTCCAGTCTTTTTAGTTTCCTGTTTAAAGGGGATATACTTTAAATCTTTATAGGGGAGATGACTCTTTACAAGAGAGATAACTCTTTACATTGGTATGTTTTAATTTAATGCTTGTAGCAACAAGCACAGTAGACCAGAGAAGAGGTAATCTATAGAAACGATTTGCTTATAGTATTGGATAGTTTTGTGAAATGTGTATACCAAGTATGATACAGGGGGTAGGGTTACATGTAGTGAAATTTAGTTATAAGCCTCTTATTTTTTATCAGAATGGTGAATCTATAAATTATCAAAGAAATAACTTTCTAGTTTTTAAGGTTTGTATGGCGATATTTACATTGGTGTATATGATAAAATCAGCAGAGCCATTTATGTAAGAATTACTAGTGGCTTAATATATTTAAACCCCCAAAACTTACACGAGTATTTTATTTACATTTAAAGTTTTCGAATGTATTTCTTGTCATAACAATAAATCAGATAAGGTTCACTTAGAGTCATGGTGTACTTGTCGTCACATTATAGTGTATAAGCTTTTATAGACCCTCAATCCTAAAAGGTACAACTGTATTACTTCAAGTAAATGAAAATATACTTTGATAATTTGACCACAAACCTTAAGCGTTCAAGAGTTATTTCCTCTAGACTTGCAATTCTCCGTAGTTTTTCATAACAAAGAAATGCAATGACATTGTAATGATCTATTAATAATATAAACAATTTCTTTCCCGGATTTTTCAATAAATAAGCTGCATTGTTCTGTTTCTGTTCCAGAAACTCATATTTTGATATCAATTTCTTTTTCTCAAATAAAAAAAAAATAAAATGCGTTTTATGTTGTGCAAAATCAAAACGACAAAGTTTTCTCCTGTTAAGTTAAAGATGAATCGACCTAGTCTAAATGCCAAACATGACCTGTGGTGAAGGAACCGTCAATATTTTCTTTATGTGTCTCATTCAAATGTTCATGATTCCAGTAAACCACATGTTCAACATTTTGGAAATAAATTATACACAAGATCAGGAATAATCACAATAATTATTTTCATGCATTGTTAATAAGGTAGGCATGCGTGACATACGTGTTTCTCTTCATAAAAATGTAATACCAATTAGATGTACGTATTATTAATTATTAAGGTTCAATGAATTGGAAATAATAAGTAATATGACAGGTTTGAAATCAATTACATTTACATAGGCGGAAATTATTTGGATTATTAATTAGACAGTTTGGTAAATTGCAATTATCCAAAAACATCTTCTTCGTTCTTCAAATTTTCATGAAAGAAAATCTTGAATAAACTTCATAGATACTGCTTAAATTAGTTTGTAGAATTGTGGTAACATTCTGTTCGAGAACTCAAAACTACATTTTATTTAGGAGAACACAGTTTTTTTGAAGATGTTTTCACGCAAAAATTATCGTCAAATGGGAGGTTAATGTAACTTATAACAAATGTAGATTGATTGATTGTGAATTTTTTTCTGTACTGTATACAGAGAAATATTTGCCTCTGTTTCATTTTCGCGAATTCAAAACGTGGCGAATTCAACAAACCTTTAACCTCTCTGTTGTATTGAATTTAATCGTGATGAAGTTAGCGCGAGAGTGACAATAGTACGGGTCAAAAATAACTGTGAAAAGTACGCAAATCCTCCCTAACTTAAATAAACTGACAAATTCAAATTTACCTTATCGGCTTCAGCCTTGTAGTGAGCAATGTATATCATGCAAACGCCAACCATTACACAGGGAGAGGACCTATGACTTTCACTTTTTAATAATGAGCAAGGGGAACATTCCTTTTCCGTTTTGAAGTCACAAGTCGGACCACCGGAGATATGAGGTAAACGCTATAAACACTGAGTATATATAGAAATATAGAAAACTCCCTTTTAAATCAAATGGTACACACAATTCATGGTTTATTATGTCTATTTTCACAGGAAGAATTTTTTGGGTTTTTTTATTTGAGCTCAGGTAAGAAAACAAATTGCAAAAATGAATTCATGCTTTGTAATGGACATCAACAAGTTTGAGGATGGGTAATATTAACAGATTTTCAAGTATAAATAAAACCGACAGGAGCTATACAATATACACATTGTGGTAAAACACTTAAGCCTACATTAACTTGCTTCCATCTACCCTTGCCTACATTTTTCATAAATGGTAGTTTAGGTCTCTTTTTTAAATTTCAAAGTAACCACAGCAAAACTCTCAACAATATTCAAAATTGGTCATCTCTTTAAATTGGAAATCGGCATCATCACTGAGCGAAAAATGGTTTTCTTAGGAAAAAAACCTTACTTTCTAACAGCTGTAAGCAAAGTTTTTAGGACTATCATAAACTGAAAACTGATTTTAAGTTCTTCTAAAACAGTTTATAATATAAAAATTAATAAATAACAAGAAAAAATGCACAATTATCACAAAACAGGTCAGTTTGTTTTTAAGGAGCGGTGACACAGCATCCTTTGTGACAAGTCTCTGGTTCCCAGCAGTCTGCTGTGGTGGTACAATGGTAGTAGGGGTCACAGTTACGATAATCAGCATTTTGTGGAGCAGTTGTATAATAAAGACTAGGAGGAGTGGTATAATAAAAATTCTGGGGAGGTGCCTGACCATGAGTGCCTCCTTGACCAGTTTTATGAGGAGGACTATTTTGTTGATGATGATTTTGACCCATATTATGTTGCTGCCCACTCCCCACGTTATGATGTTGCCCAGTACCCATGTTGTGATGAGCTCTGTTTCCCATGTTTTGTTGTCTACTGTGACCTGCGTTATGAGCAGGATTCATGTATGGTGGTTGGGTTGTTGCCACGGGGTCCATGTAGGGATACGGGGTGGTGGTTATGGGGTTCTTCTCACAACATCCAGTTTCTTTCCCGCAGTGTTCGTCTTCATAACACTGATATTCCCCGTTAGAGAAACAGTAAAATTCTGGACCAGGACAGGTGGCATTTACACAACATCCCTTAAAGCAAACTTCTTTTTCATAACAGGGATTCTGTTCACTACATTCATAATATGCGTCATAACAGTGGCTTGTATGGAAATGCTGACCTAATCAGAAAGTTAATGATTTTGAGCTATGAATTATTTCACATCGGATTTTACCTTTAGATATATTTTTTCCCTTTAAATAGTTTTTTCTGAGATAAGATCTAATAGAGAAGGGATTTTGTAAAGTCTAACAATTGCAAATCTCTCCAAATTTAATTACTTTAAATTTAATCATCATGACAAAAATAAATTAGAATTAGAAAGGATTTCAACAGTATAATTGCTTACCATAAACAATAGATACAAGTAATAGTCCGCAAAGATACCCAATATTCATATTGCCTCGCTCTATGAGAAAGAGCAATTGGAGTTAAAAATCTTACTAAACTAAAATAAAATACTTAATACCGCTGGTTTTTATACGACTTTTATTTATGATAATCATGCCTTGACCTTAAATAAATTTCATGCCTTAAAAGTCACAATACTTTCATAATTTCCTCATTGTTATGCATGAAATCAGAATACCTATCAATTAACGCACTCGTCGGTATCAAGTCAAACAACGGGAGATAAAATAAAATTTACCAAAATCAGTATCGCTATGTGTCAGTTACCAATTCTACAAAAAAAAGTCCAGTATTTGAACTGATAAATATTTTACACATTTCTGGAAATTATGTGTACATTCAAACTTGGAATTCGATGGTGAAATAAAAATATGTGACATTTTTTTCAAGCTGGTTATATTGTACTGCTGATGTCTACTGCTAAATATTTGAATCATCAAAGTGAATCTATAAATTTATGATTTTAAAAGAGTTGAAAATATACCAAAGAAACATAAATACACAGCAAAGCAAATATAAATTCTACCGGGGGAATGATTCTTTCATTGATATACAAAATGCAGAAATGTTCAAGATTATTCAAATTTTCCTAAATGAATGTGGTCTTTTTTTTATTTTGGCACGGAAAATTTTCTTGTAAATTGTGAGGAAATAGTTATTTCCCTTTGTTATTCTCTATGAAGATTTATCACAGTAAATAATGTAACTGAAAGGGCAATCGAATAACAGATATATACAAGAATGTACAAAATGTGCCTTCATAGTTTTTAATAGACAGGTAGACTTGTAAATAATAGATAAATAAAAACGAGTCAAAATTTCTATCTTCGTACATTTATCCTCCTTCAATGACCAAAAAGGCCCATGTGAGAGGGAATGAGATGGGTTTACTAATAGTGCTCGAGCACTATTGTTTTGTTTAGTTTACAAGCAAGGTGATAGTGACATAGGAGGGGGGGGGCTATTTCAGGAACGTAAATTAATCCCCTGCTTAAAGATTTGTCGTGGAATGCTAAACTTTTTTATTATTTTATTTTTTTGTGGATCCATTACAGTGTTTTGTTTACTCTAGGTGCCCGTTAAGGCTCTTGGACCTCTTGTTTATAAATTTATGTAATTACTTATTTATTTATTTCAAATGATTTTTATAAACTTTAAAGGGTATCAAATTTGATACTTACAGAGGTAGATTTATATTTCTTTTAAATGAATGTTTATATATCATTGTTATTTGAGCTACTATAGAATTAAGTAACATTGGGTGTATGTATAAGATTGTCTACATATTCTTAAAATAAAAAAATTCCAATGTTTAAAATATCTATTGGAGTGATAATAATATTAAAATAATAGGACCAGGAGGAAAATTTCGAAAATGATATGGTTGTTACGACTTAAATCCTTTAATGTTGGATGTTAAAATATCCAACAGACAATATAGTGATGTAATATTTCATCCTTGTCAGCTGAGTACCGTGAATAAGTTTCCTTCATTGCAAATTATTTAATCGTGTTATGTGCTAGTAAAGTAATTTTTTAAGTGATTTATTCTTGTGAATGAAGAAAAGAAAAGATAAGCATATGAGATCCTCTAAAGTGATCATGAACTTAAACCAAGTGTGGTATGGTACAGAAAGAAGATGTATTTTTTAATTTATAGTCGTAAGTATGTTGTATTTTTATAGATGAAAATATGCATACTCTATCAAATGATTGGCACTATTTTGAAAAATTCTTAGATATTATAATGTTACTCTAGATTGACTGAGATCATGTAACGAGTAACTACGAGATGTATAAAGACAGATTACTTGCTAACTTACTTTTGTACATAGATACATAAAAAAGTAAAGATAATGACGTGATCGATCTCAGAAAAAAGTACAAATAATACAAAACTGAATATGTCATAAAACATTGGCCCATGTATATACTGCAGAGTTCGAATCAGGCGTCAAGGACGAGTAAGCATCCTCTGTCGACTGGTCACATTTGCCGTAAGCTCTATGTATTGATCAGGTTTACAAAATATTCCGTTGTCAAATTTAGTGTTTAAAAAAGCCTAACAATTGATATGAAATATGTCAGTCAAAATATGACCGAATGCAAGATTATATTTGCTAACAAGATCATTATTACGACCATAGAATTCACGAAATGCTCATTTTAAACTAGGTTGCTGAATTCCCTGTAACATCAACTCATCTCTCAGATGATACAGAATGTAAACAACCTCGTTTAAAGTCAGCATTTCGTAAATCCTACGGTCGTTTCAATGACCTTGTTCACAAATATAACCTATCATTGGATAGTATTTTGGTAGATGTGTATCATACCGATTGATTGACCTTTGTTTTTACACTGAATTTGACGTGATGTTCCATTTACCTGATCAATACATAGGGCTCCCGGTGGGTGTGACCGATCAACAGGGGATGCTTAGTCCTCTTTAGCACCTGATCCCTGTTAGTTGGCTCTTAAACGTCCAAATATGAAACAGATTTGGCAGAATCTGTGACATCTTTTATTTCGAGGTAACTGGGATATGTCGAGCCGACATATGAATGGAAGTAACTATTGTTTATTGATATAATATCGTCGATATATCTGAATGTCGAGTTGAAGCAAGTGTTTTTTTTTTTTTTTTTTTTTTCCTCATGTAGAAGTTTTTTTTATTTTTCATTAAATTCTGTTTCATAGGAATGTAACAACAGGCCGTCTAATAAAGGGGAACAATTTATTCACATCGGAACTATAAAGGTTGTTGGAAGACATTATGAATTTAATAGCTACCTAAGTTATACTGTATATAGTGGGTCGCAGCAGTTTACGTTTTATAAACCGCGAAGTGGGTTATATTCGCGGTTTATAAAAAAAAATCTTATACTTTTAAAAATGCCTTCAAATTGTACGTTTTATATGTAACTTGAAGCGGATTGATACGCAAGTCACTGTGTCGTATGCAACAGAGGTCATGCGATATAAACTATCCAATCAAATAACACGTTACAACCAAATTTAAATTATTTTGTAAAACTATATGTATGTGTGATAGATACATTTTTAAAACAAATTATAGTCTAGAACAATGTTTGTATCAAAGAATCCTGCGATATATTTTCTATGACTATGCACGTAAAAGGCATGTACAAATAAGAACCCGGTATATTGTCCATTATTTAAGATGGACTAAAATTCATACTGAAATTCTCTTTCTAAATAAAAAGATTGTTATATTAAAATTATAAACATGTAGCAAAACTGATTCGTCATCTATTTGAGATGGCCTACATATCATCCTAAAATCATTTTTATGATTATTTGAAATTTATAAATAGACTTACTCACTGTTCCTGAGTACCCCAGGACAGTGAGTCTGAATATACTCTATCTCCGACAAATAATATGGAGTACTGTGAGTATGCTTTTGCACATCAAAACTTTAAATCGACTAATTTACTTTGTGAAAATATGGATAAAACAGGTGAATTGTTTTATTGCAATACTCTTTTATAGACAGGGAAACTTATGCTTATTTCTTCAAATAAAAATAATCAGTAAGTGACATCAAGTATTGTGCCAGTATGTCGAAATTTTTGCATTAAATATGTTTTTCAACTATCAAAGATCCTTTTAATTCTCTGTAATGCTGCAAAGGTACTCTTGATTTCTTAATTTCAAGAGATTATCTGAGTAAAACGAAACCGATAATCATACATACCCCCCCCCCCCCTGTAAATGTAGCTGTAAATTATTGTAATTTGTCACAGAATGTATATGTATAATGTTTACTTTATTTATTCTACGTTTTATTTTAAGCACACGTTGCAAATTTTGTTATGTAAGTTTCCAGGCCGGTTGCCGTAATGCTTAATTAATACTTTATGCAGTTATCATTTAGCAATATTTCTTATTGAACAATATAGAGAATAAGATTCATGAAGAAAGTTACCTCTGATACATTTATGGTCACGATTCTGATCACTTAAATAACTTTATATATCATAAGTGGATATTACTTCATAAATGGTTACTACATCGCCTTCTTACATATGTACAAAATAATTCATCCTGTTGGCGTATAATTCCTTTTTTTAAATAAACAAATTTGAAGATATGAACCTAAGTATCATATTATGCGGAAATATTTCACTAGTATTAATATAATTAATTACATATTTATATTAAATAGGGCTAATAACTAATTTCCACACAGTACTGTAACATTGTACTTTATTTTATGATTTTATTTTAATATCTTTACAGTTTTATCTATTAGAGTATGAAAGTAGACTGTTGACAACCGAGTCGCCTCAGGTAATAAAATTTCATTTAAGGACAGCCTTGCTCTAAAAATACTATATATATCTTAAAAAAAGTAAATATTTTTATATTACAGAATACAGAATTACATATACTGTTTTAACACAGTATGTCTACGAGTACTCTTGCTCCGGGGTGAATAAGAAGTCCAAGCTTAAGACATGAATACAATTTTAATGATGTTTTAAAGCTCAGTCTATTTACAAGCTGTTGCAAATAAATAATAGAATAAATTCTGTTATATCATTCCAACTTTCTCTTCGATTAAGTAGAAAATGATCCTAGAAATGTTATTTTTGGTTTTAATTTCACATTTTTATTCATATACTTCAAATTGTACAAGTAATTCATACATACACAAAATGTACAAGAGCACCACTACCCTCTAAGTTCGCATTTAATTTAAACACCTGGAATACGCATTAAAACCTTACTTTTCCTTAGCTTTTAATACATTTGACTGGTACTTTTGAAAACTATCCTCTTCCACCTCAATTAAAGGACACATTGGATGTAAACCGTTTTTAGCGCCCTTCAAAAGATGTCTAAACAAATAACCCAATCAGAACATAAGGTAGTCTTTAAAACTCGGGATTAGCTATATGTAGCATTCTACGAAACTAGCAGAATCCTGAGGTCCTATTTTCTTATTTAAAAAGATGTTTCTGCAACATGAGCCTTCACATACATATAAAGGATTATATAAGTATATGTCCAAAGATAGGAACATGCACTGTACATGTTGAGAATACATACCGGGTCCTTTGTTCAGTAATGGGAACATAGACCCTATTACATGCAGAAAACTACCAAGGTATGTACAACAAAAGGAATCTACATCATACAAGATAACAAAAGCATATCCTGTGTACCTGGGATATGAAACAACATCATACATTCATTACATTCTGACAAAAAGAAGACAAATATTTGATTTTTGATTTCTTTTAACATTTCGTTTGAAGATGCAGAATAAGAGAGAGAGAGGGGGGGGGGTCAACATCAGTATAAGGAAGTCAAATTCAGAAAATTGTTGATTGATGAATTCCTTTATATGAATTAATGATGCAGATAATTTAATATGAATATAACGGACAATTTATTAACTATTTATCTAAATGATATCAAACCATTAAAGATACGGCAACTTTCGATCGGAATTAGCCCCATATTTTCATTCTCTTTACAGCTGAAACATTGGTTAGAAATAAATTATAATTCACTTAGACACAGACACAGAATTTTTTTATGCGACATATGAAAACAGAACATGATACTTTAATTTTAGGTTTGTTTCTAACCATATATCCCTTTAATGATTCGTAATAAAAATCCGGGTAAACACAACAGACCCCGCATACATCCAGTTTAAGTTTGAGATGCCAAATTGGCTCCGCGTTATCATGTGACTCAATAAATATAACTTTTATTAAGACTATATAACTTAGTCTGTCCACATGCTTTATAACACTGATGAAATTGATGACTAAATGATGAATGTCAAATTGGACACGTTTTACATACATGTATCCTATACATGTTGTAAATTAACATTGAATCATTCGTCGAAATGCGTAGCGATACTGCAGAATTTCCATTACCTTTTAATATATGCATTTATGTATCGGGGTATATTCTACATACTTGAATCATATATGGTTTGTGTTATCTATTAATATTTTCTTTAAGAAACTGGCAACATTAATTGACAATTGTTTACATTAAGACTACATGATAATTTTGCAAATTTTCTGTTAGAAGGAGCAGAATGTAACTGCCCATTTCAAAATAAAGAATAATTATAATATAATTAAATACGTAAATGGTAACACATTGTTTATACTGTTTGTATTATAAAATCATTATAAAAACTGAGGGGAGATTGTACATTTACTCTAGTTTTTGTGTCTTATCATCATCATAGTCTTTTTCAGCGCTTCGCTTCTCTTTTTCCAGTGATACCATATCGGGTATTTACTGCCAGTCACATTAGATTGGGCGTACTCTCCATTAAGGTTAGAGTTGAGACAGTTGTTGTACCACCAGCCTCCGTGGTAATCTACAGCACAGTTACCACTGATCTTGTTGTCGTTGTCTTGATCTTTAGTGGTAAATTTCATACCACTGTGCCAAGCCACACTGTCACCTGGAACAGGGTATTGATAACATTAACGTTTATTGCTACAATTTTTATAGTATTTTAGCACAAATGCAACCATTATTAATGGTAGTACAATTATCAAACCTGTAAGTTGTCACCGTTGTGTCTATTGTACAACATCTCCATGTCTTTAAATTTATAATATATCATACATTTATTAATTTTTTATCCAAAAATTCTAAAATATAATTTCTAGCATTGGTATGTACGTATTTATAATGGTATGTTCCCCTGTTTAATATGTCAGTGGATTCAAAAACATCAAGAGAAGAAAATTCTTGCTGTGGTCTTCAACTCAACATTAAGATATATCAAAGATGTTTTATCAATTAACAGAAGTTAGTGTAATTCATATATCGACTCGATATATCCCAGTAAATTTGAAATAAAAGACACTATAGAGTCTGTCACATCTTTTTCATATTTGAATGTTTTACTGCTATAGACGATAATGACCAGCTTATAACAAAGTCGTATTACAAACGAGATGACATGCTTTTCCATCGTTAACTTCACTTTTTTAAGTAGCAATTTTCAAATATCACCTGCATATGATACTCATGCCTCCCAACTGATTCGATAGGCAAGAACATTCTCTGAATACGATCGAATTTTCAAACCGAGGCAAACTACTGACAAATAAATCTATGTAATAAGGATTTAAACAAATCTGTTTAAAGTCAGTTTCTCAAAAATTCTAATGACCTTGCTTATAAACATAACCTATAGTTGGGTCGTATTTTGTCTGATATGTTTCATACCATTTGTTAGGTATTTGTTTAAATACTTTAAGACCCTCTACACAACATTGAAAAACATTTTTTTGAACTCTTAGGAAATAATATTATATAACGATGTAAATATGGAGTTTATCTATTTAATTTTCAAAATAGCATACCTTCCATTTACCCCCAGGAAAAATATTCAAAGAAATGAAGTGTTGTTGAACTGAAATCAAAGTTGCTTACTCACATGAGAAAAGTACATGCAAATGAAGTGTTCAATTAATTCATCCAGTCCAAATGAAACATTTAGAATGCTCGAATTGATTACAAAGTGAGTAATAAACTTTTGATTTCAATTCATTTCATTTTAGATCTAAGTGCAGATCACTCTAATGGCATGAAAATACCACGGAATTAGAATTCTTTAGTGTGCAGTGTGAAGAGGGTTCTTAATTTGACTATGGAGTACTCCGTCAACCTCAAGGCGGGTGTTCCCGGTACAGGGGATGCTTACTCATCCTACGCACCCGGCCTCACCTCTGGTGTTTTGAGGGGTCTTTATTTCTCTTAAAGATTCATTTTGATTATTTCAATGATTTATGAAATGGACCACTGTTCGTTATCTTCATTTTTTACATTGACTATTAATGCTTTCATGTTATTTTTCTTCATTTCAAGAATATCGAGACGCTACCACTTGTCAGTGGAGGGCTGCAAATTAATTAAGATCTGTACTCGGGACTTTGAGCAGTGAGGGATCTTTTTCGTGCCAGCACCTGCTGCGACACGGGAACTCGGTTTATACGGTCTCATCCGAAGGGCCGGTCTCCACGTCCTGCAGTGGGATTCAAACCCGCGACGTAAGGTTCAACCAACTCCTTACTCCGCGACTCTTGAGCAAACGCTTTTACCACTGCGCCACACGGGCAACTTTAAGTTTTGACACTACGACCATAACTTGAGCGTAAATTTATTATTGTGTATTATTTTTTTTTCGATGGTTGATAATGTATTTAAATTCCTACTGTTAAAAACTATTTCATCAATCAGGTGAGAGAGTTACCATCAAGTAACAGTATTACGTGTGTAAATTTATGAGAGACCTACCTGCTGTTCCTGAATACCCCGTCACGGTGAGTCTGTATTTACTGTCCTCGTCCCCGACATAAAATGTGTGGTACTGAGAGTATGCTTCATCGCCATCAAAACTTTGAAGCCAAACACGGAGTTCTTGGTCCTTGTTCTTTGTCAACTCAAATACAGCGTCATTTCCTTTTCAAAAAAATATACTTAAAGCAGAAATATTGTTTTATTTTACACAATGAATACGTTTTGAACGGAAAGACTGAAATGTTACCACTTTTGTTTCAACAATACCTTAGAATGAAAACAGGATTTTTACAATTTTTCAGCTATTTAGAATCAATGTGTTAAGGTTTCCAACTAAAGTAAATCAGTTTCAAAATTATCCCTTATGTAAATGAAAGTGTTAAAGCTGTCATTACAGTTAAGGAAAGAGTCAAAATAATCATCATAATAAATTAATTTCCTGTGTGAAGTTTCATTACATTACAAAAACGAAAGTATTATCTAGTATTACAGACTTTTAAAGCTCACCTGAACTGAAGGTTCAAGTGAGCTTTTCCGATCGAAGGGTGGTCTTTTGTCGTCTGCAAACTTTTCACATTTTAAATTTCTTATCCACAACCACAAGGCTAATTTTAGCCAAACTTGCCACAAAGCATTCTTTGGTAAAGGGTTTGCAAGTTTGTTTAAAAAAAGGGGGGGCACGCCTCCTGGCATCGTGTAAATATGGGTTCAGACTATGACCCCCGGGGATAGAGTGACGCAACAATAGGGGATGAATGTTTTACAAGGGAATGTACAGAAAAATGAGCTTTAAAAATAGTTTTCTCAAGAACAGCAGGGCAATTTTAAGTCAAATTAATATGCAAGCATTCTTAGGTAATGCAGATTTAAATTTGTTCGAATCGTGCCCCAGAGGTGGGATGGAGCCACAAAAGGGGATCAAATTTTTACATGAGTGTATATAGAATATTCTCAACAACAGCAGGTTTCTACTTGGTCATGTTACTGTAAAATGTATTTTTTGTTGGTGCAAACTTTCGCTGTTTGAGGAAAAAAGATTGGTAGGTGTTGACTTGACTTCTGGTTAGAGAAATGTTTCAACAACAAAGCTTTATGATAAACGTGATGACTTCAATTTCTCAATTGTCAACTTCTTCCCTTATACTTAGCAATAAACCAATATCACCTGCATATGGCGTTTTTGTCTCCCAGTTGATTCGATATGCAAGAGCATGCTCTACGTATGAAGAATTTCTAGAACAAGGCAAGCTATTGACATAAAAATTGATGAAACAAGGATATCAACAGTCTCGTTTGAAATCATTTTGCAGGTTTCATGGTCGATACAATGATCTTGTCAGCAAATACAACCTATCATTAAGTCAAATGCTGACTGACGTTTTTCATACTAAATTGTTATGCCATTATTTACACTCTAAATTATCTACGGATTTTTCCTGATTGACAAGGAGCACTCGGCGGGTGTGACGGTACCGGTCGGCAGGGGATGCTCAATTCTCCATGGCACCTGATCCCACCTCCGATGTTTTTAGAAGTCCGTATTTGCTCTGCTCCTGATTTGTATTGTCTAAATGGACTTTGAGCTTGAATACTGTTCGTTATCTCCATATTTCATATTGAAAAATTAACATTTCGTAGAGGAAATGAACTTATGGGTCTCTTCATATCACGAATTCAACGAAAATTAAACCTCAACAAAATGAGTTATTTCACAGTAATATGCATATATTGATAGTGCATACTAGTATTCAAATTGTTTATATCATCCCCGCACTATCGAGTAGGGAGGGTCTTCAATTAGGGATCAAAGTTTCACAATGCGATGTATAGGTAAGAATATTTATAATCCTTTTTGTCAAGAATGTCACAGCCATAATAAGGAATATTTTAAAAAAACACCAGAGCCATAATAAGGAATATTTACTTGCAAACATTTTCAGGTAGTGCAGATTCATAATTATTCAATTCATGCCCCCAGGAGACAATAGGGATACGAATATAAATCTCCTCAAATACAGCAAGGTCCTGATTTGTGACGTTGATTAAAAAAATTCCTAAGGCAGATCATATTCAACTTTGTTGGAATCGTAGCTCCGGGGTAGGTTGGGTTTACAATAAGGGAACAAATTTTGTGAAATTCCTTTTCCTTCATTTACCCTAAGAATGGAATGGATTTTAAATAGGTTATAAACGTTTACCTACTGTGTACAGTGAAAAATAAAAGAAATATTTTTTTCTCAACATTTGCAAAGCCTTTGTTAGATATATTGAAGGTGAAGCAGTCCATATTCCCTAACAAAAAAATACTATAGTTAACTATAGTTTACTATAGTAAACTATAGTTAACTATAGTAAATCAAAGTGTCAAAGTTATCACTATAGTAAATCAAAGTTTTCAAAGTGATCACTATAGTGTCATAGTTATCACTATATTAAATCAAAGCTATCACTATATTAAATCAAAGTTATCACTATAGTAAATCAAAGTTTTCATAGTGTAAAAGCTATCACTATAGTAAATCAAAGTGTCAAAGTTATCACTATAGTTAACTTTGGTATTTTTTTGTCAGGGTTGTGAGCAGTCAAGTTCGTTTTAGTCTTGACTTTATGGAACTATTTCACACTCAGAAGTTTACATGAAAATAAAGAAGGAAAAATATTTTTTACAATTCTTCTAAAGACATGACAAATGAAATATGAAGATAACGAACAGTAAACAAGCTAAAAAGTCCAGTGGAACAATACAAACACGGACCTGTAAAAACATCATAAGTGGGATCAGGTGCCATGCAGTAAGCATCCCATGTCCTATCGAGAGATCACACTTGCCCTGTGCCCCTTGACACGATGGGGCAAACGAAAACATCCGTAGACAATTCAGAATAAAAATTATGGCCAATTTGTATGAAAAACGTTAATCAACATTCGACTTAACGATAGATAGTATTTGCTAGTAAGGTCATTGTATCGAGAATAGAATTTGCGAAATGTTGACTTTAAACGGGACTATTGATACCTTTGTATTATCAACTTATTTGTCAACAGCTAGCTACGTTTTAGAAATTGTTCGTATGTAGCGCATGTTGTCCTTGGAATCAAATGGGAGAAATAAATTCTATATCCAGGTGATAATGGTATGTTGCTACATTAATAAGGGAACTTGACGATAGAAAAGTTGTAGTCATCACATTTTCATAAAGTTTTATGTAAGGTTGCCATTAACGTTTTTTTTCCTAGTAAAATATCCAAATATGAAACACATGTATCAGACTCTGTGGTATCCTTTATTTTGAGTTCAAAAGGATATATCGAATCAACGTAGGTCGCCCGCGTGGCGGAGTGGTTAAAGCGTTTGATCTAGAGTCGCGGAGTAGGGGATTGATCCTTACGTCCTGGGTTTGAATCCCACTGCAGGAAGTGGAGAAATGTCCTTCGGATGAGACCGTATAAACTGATCCCGTGTCGCAGTAGGTGCTGGCACGATAAAGATCCCTTACTGCTCAATGCGCTAAGTGCCTAGTATAGGCCTAAAATTTGCGGCCCTTCACCGGCCCTTCACCGGCTAGTGTTGGCGTCTCAATAGGAGCGAAAAATTCTCGAAAAGGGACGTTAGACAAACAAACAAACGAACGAATCAACGTAGGAATGAAAATGAATATTGTTAATAGATAAAATGTCGTTGATATATCTTAAAGTTGAATTGAAGGCCACAGCAAGAGACTTCTTCTTTTCATGCAGAAGTTTTTAAATAAATTCTAAATAAATACAAAAATAGGTCGGCCTATAACTGGGCGCAATTAAGATCCATGGAAATTCCAACAGATTGTTGGAAACTTGATCTCCAAAGACTACATAGATATTGTCAATCAGAAACTCAACATCTTTTAAGTAATAATCGTCGGAGCATGTGTGTACAGCCAGAATGCTTTTTAAACAAAATAATTTTGCAAATGACCGGTAACAAGGTACATGTTAATGTACGAGTTCCATTTTTATTGAAAAAAGAGCTGTCTATGATACTAAAAAAACCCAGGTGAGATTGTGGCCCAATGGTCTCTTGTTCATTTTAGCAAACATATCTGTTGATATCTTGTATTTATAACGTAGGAATTCCATAAACTTTTCATACAATACTTTTTATCTCTCTTAACAGTGAATTTTCTCATTCACGAAAATAAATTGTCGCGAAGGAATTTCAAATTATTGAATCGCAAATTAATGTTATCGTGAATAATATATATATATATATATATATATATATATATATATATATATATATATATATATATATATATATATATATATATATATATATATGACTGCCGTCATGAGAAAAGGGCCCTTAAGGTCAAAATTTCACAAAATGACTTTTTGGTAAATTTTTATAGCCTGACTCTTTCTGAATGCAAAAATACAAATACCTTTAAAGATATCTTATTTTTTCACTATTTTATGATCATTTTAGTAAGGCGCATCAAAACAACATTGACGTTATTCCATGAAGACGCAATGACGTCACGAGCGTAAAATTCAAAATTATTCAAATAAACTTAATAATACGTATAAACTCTAGCCGATATTTGATTTCTTCTTCCAAGTTACTAGTTTGTCAATATAAACCCTGAAGTTGCCTTTGTTCTAACATGTTTACAATTCTAGAGGCAGATCTAGTTACATGGATTTGGAAAAAGGAGGGGGGGGGGGGGCTAGACAGGCTCTAGAAACGGAAGTTTATTCGAAAATAAAATGCATGTACTGAATAATTCCATACTAGGCATTCTATTCTAGCTCAATTAAAGAATATATAAAGCACTTGTACATTAAAATATAAAAAAAATCTACACAGTTCTGGAGTAAGGGAAGATCCAACCCAAACAAAACCACATGTATTCTCTGTATTAGAGATGAATTCTAATGGACAAAATATCACGTCCTGATATGTAAAATTGTTTCCAAAAAGGTTTATCCGTAGTACGTGAAAATCATATATTAGAATATTTGTTTTCTATTTAAAATTCCAAACACATTTTCTTTTGTATACGCTGAAAAAAAAAATTAAATTTTCATTGTTCATACAATTTTGTTTCTGCGCCTGCCTTACTTAAGAAGTAGAAACAGAAAATAGAGGTACAAAATCAGATCTTAGGATTGTCTCATAAAAGTATAGCCCGTGTATGAAATTGATACGTTTGTCAACTTATTTCTCTTTACAAGTAAATCATATGTTATCAAAAGCTGTTATAAATGACTCTGTCCTTTATTTTCTTTCTTTCTTTTCTTTTTTTTTTTTACCTTTGCTATCTTTAATCATTACTGTGAAATTTCAAATATTTTCCTCTTCTCGACGTTACTAACATTTGTACACAACAAATCAAATATTTGTAAAAGGGCCGCTATTGTAATCTCAAAATGAAGTTTCTGTAATAAATGTTTCTAAATGCGATCATATATTAATTCTTACCTGCCGAACATAGAAAAATAGTCGGCAATCACCTGTAATATTTTAGCTAATAAACGCTGAAAGGTGTGTGCGCGCGCGTGCTTATTTTTGATCCATTTCTAAGTTTCATTTATTCACAAAAATTAAATTCTTCCTTACATATTTCACAGGCATCAAAGTTTTAAAAGAAGAAGAAACAGAATTTATTAAACCTCATTATAATTGTTCTATATAATAGTTATCTGATTGGTTTCAGACAGCCAAGTGACAAGGCCATAAATTTTTATATATCCCTGTCGTCGTCATGCTTTTTGTCAACGAATTCGACTCGGGAAATATGATTTTTCTTGACTGAATAAATCCTCATATTTCTCAGACGATCATGAAATAAAAGTAGAATGCATGCTAGGAATTCATTGTTTGCAATATTTTGAGCTGGCAAATGAAATATAGTAGTACACAGAAAGAAACAAATATAAAGCTATATTTACAATAGTTCGTCTTGTAACTCTCCGGTTTTCTATTCTAAATTCTTTGTGCAGATCAACGAGCTACAGACCAGCAGCAACAAAGTTGGATGTGAAAACCCGTCTCCTTTTTCGCTCAAATCATTACCGGTTCTCTTATTTTTTTTTTTCATTTTTCCAATGATGTAGATTTCTTGATCAAAGGCGGATCCAGCACCGGGCGTGCCCCCCCCCCCCCCTTGAATTTAAAAAAAAAATTGTTTGTATTATCCTGAAATCAAGGGAAAAAACACCTCTTATTTGTTAGAATTCGTCAATTTCCGGGGGATTCGCCCCCGGACCCCAGCAGGGCCTTGCTCTGCACCAGCTGGAGGCTTCAATGCAGCCCTCAGAGCCCCTGCCTTCTACTGCGCCCCCTGTTATGAAATTTCTGGATCCGCCGCTGTTGATTGTCTTTGATGAGCTTGCAGTTGATGTTAAAATTGACAATTTGAGAACTTTTATATCATTTTGAATGACACCCACGACCACTTAAGCTTGTTACTAGTACTTTTTCTTTTTCTACCAAAGGTTGTCGTCATATCGCCATTTATCCGAAGTAAATTTCTTGAAAACCTAATCTATTGTTTCTTCTGCTTTATACATTTTTTCAAGAATTAAACTACTATCGAAGTGACTGTTGTTTACTTACTCGGGGGGGGGGGGTCCACCTTAACTGTATTTAATTCCTAAACAAAATGCAAGTTCAAGCTGACTTTCATCAGAACAAATTTGACAAAATAGAAAAAGGTATTTGTTATCAAAGAATAATACTTTTTTTCGATATTTATGATAACAATGTACTTCAACTTTTGTTAAAGCAAAAACTTCGTATTATGAAATTCATCAGCAATTTTGTGCATGCTTTATTGTTTTCCGGGATCGTGTAATTTCACGTTTATTAGTTCTCGATTTGAGCTTTCTTACATGTACAATGAAATATATAGAGATAACGAACAGTAATCGAGCTCAAAAGTCCATTAAACAATACAAAATAGAAGCAGAGCAAACACGGACCTGCAAACATCAGAGGTGGGATCAGGTGCCATGGAGGAGTGAGCATCCCCTGCCGACCGGTCACACCTGCCGTGTGCTCCTTGTCATGATCGGGAAATAACGAAAAATCCGTCGACAATTCAGTGTGTAAATAATAGCCTAACAATCAGTATGAAAAACGTCAGTCAGCATTTGACTCAATGATAAATTGTATTTGCTGACAATGTCATTGTATCGACCATAGAACTTACGAAATGATGACTTTAAATGAGACAGCTGATATTCTTGTTTCATCAACTTGTTTGTCAATAATTTACCTCGTTTTAGAAATTGTACATACGTAGAGCATGCTCTTGCGTATCGAATCAACTGAGAGATATATACCCCGTATGCAGGTGATGAAGGTATATTGCTGCATAAGTAAGGGAAGTCGACGATTGAATAGTTAAAGTCATCACGTTTATTGTAAAGCTTGGTTGTTAGATTACCATTAATGTCTTTTTCAAGTAAAATATCCAAATATGAATCAGATGTGTCAGACTGTGTGGTATCTTTTATCTCAAGCTCATCGGGATATATCGTATCGATTACAAGTAAACAATGGATACGAAAATACTGTGGAAAAGACACAAAAAACTTTGAAAACATTCGATAGTGCAAGTTTTTATGCTATGTACACATGTTTATTATGCCCGATTTCAAAACTTACATATTTACCAGACATACGCACATCACTTTTCTTTGATCCTTAGGCAGTATAATCAAAGGGGAGAGGGACCCCCCCCCCCCCAAATTTTTCCCGGAGAGTATTCTCATGCTGTTAATTATTTATGAAAAGGCCTTTTGCCGCGTACACACCCCTTCCATTGTTGTGACAGGAACATCAAATTTCCCATACTACAGTATCTATACCTTTGGAGACTTTTTTGGCTTGTTAATTATACCCCCCCCCCCCATCTCCACTTGGAAAACGACGCCACACACTTGAACTGGTCTAACTGCGCTTATTGATATGATGAGCAATGGAATAAAAATAAAATATGTCATAACATTATACCAATATATTTTTCCAAATGAAAGAAGTATTTTTACTTTTAAACAATGCGTACATGTATATGTGCATTGAGTGCCCCCCTCCCCCCTCTCTCTCCCTCTGAAAAAAATATAAATGTATGTACTAACTTCCTATCAGTACTAAGACTAATTAATACATCAATGTATAAGTCAAATATGAGCATTTTCAAATAGCTCAGTCAAAAAAAAAAGAAAAAAATATATATTAGTATATATCTGTATAGCCTTGCATCATATATAGACGTTGCTTTTAATCACTCTATCTGATAATGCGTTCAACATAACGTTTGGATTATGTTATACAGAATATTAATACAGAAACCTGAATAAATACATGTACTAAATGGTAAAAATGTTATATATTAAAATTTTCCGCTTCGAAATTCGTATGATTTTATTTTTTTCACACCAGGAAATCCAGTTTAATTCATTCTATCTACACGTGTATTTCTACAAAAACGCAGTCAACAAAATTTACTTCCGTGTTTAAAATACCGCGACTTTGACGTCGTTTTCTGGGCATTGTGACGTCAAAAGATAAGGGCCCTTTTCTCATGACGGCAGTCATATATATATATATATATATATATATATATATATATATATATATATATATATATATATATATATATATATATATATATATATATATATATATGATTTTAGGAAAATGGTATTTTGCCTTAATTTTTCACAGACCCTGAAAGATTTAACATAAGATGGCTTCTTATATCAAGAAAATGTAAATGATGCTAAAGTCAAAAGTATATATAATTTTTTTATAACTCTTTATAAAGAGAGAAATATGTAATTTTTTTTTTATAATAAAGTAAAACCTACCAATCCAATAGTTTTTAGAGGGATCACCAAATCCTTGTTTATATTCTACCCACGTCCGATAAAAGTCTGTAGTCTCGTCCAGTCTTCTTTGTATTGCCTTCAAGATATCAATTCATTTTAACATCTGCTTTGAAATTCAGAAAAAATAGACTAAATGAAAAATTGACTCCATACTTTTTAAAATGATTATGTATATATATATAATTTTAAAACCGAGGCAAGCTACTCACAAATGAGTAATTGCTACAAAGATTTCAATAGCCTAAAATCAGCTTTCGCCAATTCTACAAATCATTGGGTAGGTTCATTGCTTTTGTATTAAATTTGACTACGGAGTACTCAGTCTATATGAACAAAACAAAGGGGTCACGACGGATGTGACCGGCAAACAGGGGATGTTTACTCCTCCTTGGCACTTGATCCCACCTCTTGTGTTTCAAGGGGTCTGTGTTTTTGCTGTTTACGTTTTGATCTGTTTACTGGACTTGTTACTGATAAACTATTGACAAGCTATTGATTAGCTATTGGAATATCATAAGGATATCAAAAGTCTCATTTAAAGTCAACATTTCGGTCGATACAATGACCTTGTCATCAAATACAATTTATCATTAAGTAGAATGCTGACTGACGTTTTTCATAAAGAACGTTAGGCCATTATTTACACACTGAATTTTCTACGGATTTTTCCTTTTGCCCGATCATGACAAGGAGCATACGGCCAGTGTGACGGGTCGACAGGGAATGCTTAATCCTCCATGGCACCTGAGGCCTCCTTCTCTGCTGCTTTTAGAGTCCGTGTTTGCTCTGCTCCAAATTTGTATTGTTTCAATGGACTTCTGAGCTTGATTACTCTTCGTTATCTCCATATTTCATTTGTGAGATTGAATGTTGTTCGTTATTTTCACCTTTTACATTGACGTAGAGTCAATATTTTGCAGTGAAAGAAAATTCCTTTAGACTAGATTATTTTCTTCACTTTTTAACAAGTTGTACCCACCGTCCAACCTCCGCCATCAGTACTCATGTCACAGTAAACAAGCTTTTCTTCAGAGGCAATGAATACCGTGTATAATCCATCTCTTCCTAATAAAGTCGGGTATTTCCGTAAAATGTCCAAGCAATTCTTTGAAAGCACTGTGCAAGTAAATTAATTCACATTCATAAGATGGTGTTTGCTGTAATATGTATTAAACTAGGATCACTGGCTCTGAAATATTTGTTATGTTGTAGTACACACTTATCCACTGACTGTGAGTAGGATATCTCTTTCATCAAAACTGCAAAAGGAACTACTCCCCAGGGTGTGCCGAGGGGAATAGTTTTTATCAAGCGTTTACTGAAACACTCACAGCCAGTGGATAAGGTATTATGATACAATGTACTGATGTATATTATAATTTCTGAGGGTTGGATAGCAAATTCTATAGCCAAGGGTATAGCTTTGTGGATCTCTTCAGTGTTGGAGAAGTTGCCAACTAATCAACAAAAATCTGTACAATGAAGAATTAAAGAATAAAATGTCCACCCGCCTGTGTTGATTTTTCAAAAGAAAGAATTGGATGGGAATATGGGATTTTTTCTATCATGGGCTTATTGCTAAGAAGAATAAGAAAATGGAATGGAATTTATATTTGTAATCATGTACTTCAATTGGAGAGCCAGGGATAATCTTTGTTGAACAAATGTCAACGAACAAACGTCAATGATTAACAAAAATCACAAATTCATGTTTAAAGCATGATATAGCTTTTATTTTTATCATTCCTTATTATACGAACAGTCGCACACGTGGCGCAGTGGTTAGACCGTTTCAGAGTTGCGGAGTGAAGGGCTGACCCTTACGTCGCGGGTTCGAATCCCAGACCTGTGGAGACCTGTGCTTCGGATAAGACCGCATAAAACGAGTTCCCGTGTCGCAGTAGATGCTGGCACCATAAAGATCCTAAATTTGCAGCCCTCTACCGGCAAGTGGTGGCGTCTCAATATGAGTGACAAATTTTCGATGGGATGTTATACAAAACAGTATTTTAAGAACAACTGGAAAAAACGGTGAAAAAAATTTATATTTACCAAAGACATACTGAAAATGTAGCGCTTATTAACAATGGTTTTGCATTGTTCTGATCGATATAGAGAGATCATATTAATATTAAGCAGACGAGTGTGTAGACAGAAGTTGAATTTGTAAGGAGAACCTTGTACCACCAATGTGCTACTGGGTAAATATTTACTAAAAATACCTTTTACCCCTGCGGAAGCCATGTTAAATGTTCGAACAAAATCTCAAACAAGAAAGATAAAAGCTTGAAGAAAACATAAAGCGAGGGGATTTTAATTTCCTTATGTGAATTGATCAAGCACAAAACAAATATTTTAAAACTAAAAAAAATTAACACGATTTCTAACATTTTTTTTTTCTACACTCGATATTAAGATATTCATTGGCCCCGGAAAGGACATAAATACCCGGTATTTAGATAAATAAAATAATTAAATAAATATTTAACAAAATAAATCAAAACTCTCTTCTAAATGATTGCAAAAATTGTACCTTGGAATATTGCTCCAAGCTAAAATAAAATGAAATGTTATACCTTTTGACAATATCCATTTTGAATGATTCACATCCACTCGAACATTGTTCGATGATATATTGAAAGAAACCAAAATACGTTTTAACATGTCCTCTGTCTTTTCCACCCTTCGAGCAATGTCTACACTGCCTTGTAATGTCGCGTTCATTTCATCTTTGAGAACCTCAATTTCTGTAGTTATTGCGCGGTCATTGTTTTTGAGGGCCAAACTTTTATTTCTTACATTATCTTCAAGTTCTTTCATTTTTTGGATGTTGCTTTCAATGGAAAAAATTTGAGATTCATTCAAGATATTTATTTTCTCGAATGTCATATTTTTATTATCATTTATGAACCCGTACATCGCCATTAATTCCCCTTTAAGTTTGACATTTTCCTCCACTATTATTTGGCTTTTAGACTCCAAATCATGTAAATCCTTTGACACCTCAGTAAGCTTCGTCTTTATAACTTCCCTACTGTTTTTATTATCTATGGCATCCATTACCAAATTTTGTATTTTTTGTACCATAGAAAAGCGAACCAAACTTTCCTGGTTCAGAATTTCCCGTAGGACATTTGACGCTTTATCGGTTACATTTTTATCAGAAGTGTTGCTTTCATGCAAAGGTAATAGCCCAAATATTCCGTATATGCACACACAGAGTATTAGGATAGTACTTTTAGAACTCCCATAGTCGCAGTAACATCTGAAGAATAAGGGAGCTTTTTAAATATATAGTGCAGTACTGGGCGTTAGTGATTAACCAATGCATGTAATATTCAGAAATTTTTTTTCGCTAAAAAGATGACGTGATGACATATGCTTTCAAATTAACAAACTTTGTCTAAGTTGAAAAGTTTATCCCGACACTAATTGCTAGTAGGACTCTAAGGACTAGTTCTTAGTTACTGAGCTCTATAGAGTCATTAAGACATATGAGGAAGTCTCAGTCAAGAACCCTTGCTTGTTAATTAAAAAGGTACTTATCCTTAGATATATGCATTTAAAATAACAATTTAGAAAATTGTCATAAAGGGATCGGCCGTATTTACTAATGCTTTTATATCTAACATTGTGAGAATGTAAGTCACGAGGAAATTGAGCTTAACTGCTCTCTCTCTCTCTCTCTCTCTCTCTCTCTCTCTCTCTCTGACATTAAAACAGAACTCTATATATTTTTGACATGTTGCTCTGTATGAAAATATTTTAACATATACTTTGGTCTTTTTATTTTCGTAACGACACCGTGACATTAGAAAAAACCCTTGTACGAAAAGAAAGATTGAAATAGCAAGTATAACTGGTTAAATGTAGGTTTAAAGATACCAACGATTAAGTATAGCTGATTGATGGGTATCTGGAGAAACAAAAAGCTCCTAGGGGCGAGCAATTTCAGCTTGAAGTGACTTTCTTTGTGAAGGGAAAGCACTTTCGGACTGGAACTTCCACTGAAACTTTGTCTTACAGTATCTGCTGTCAAGACAAAACTCTAATAGCCTTTTGTGTAGATCCGTTGAACGTGTTCAAAATAATTTCACATATATCCTACATTGGTTGAATAAACTTACCACGTAACTATGATAAATTTTCCACATGAAGGCGTAAAAAACCAATTATATAGTACTCCTTTGGCCTTTAATGTTGTTGTACATAATGATTTCAGTGTAAATCATTTCATTTTTTTCTAAATACACTTTAAATGTAGGCCGTGCTACTGTATCTACAGCTGTGTGGTTTTTTTTTTTTTTGGGGGGGGGGGGGGGTTGTTTTGTTTCTTTTTGTTGTTGTTATTGTTGTTACTGTTATGCTTAATTGCTCTTTGCTTCTATTTTTTGTTTGGTTGCTTGGGGGTTTTTTTTCTTTTCTTTTTTTTTTTTTTTTGTTTTGTTTTGTATTTTTTTTTTGTTTTTTTTTTGTTTTTTTTTGGTTTATTTGTTTATTTTTTTATGGGTTTTTTTTTTTTTTTTTTTTTTTTTGGCTATTTAAAATTTTTGTTTTGTTTTTGTTTGTCTGTTTTTTTTTTTTTTTTTTTTTTTTTTTTTTTTTTTTTTTTTTGTTTTGTGTGTGTGTGTGTGTGTGTGTGTGTGTGTGTGTGTTTATTTTTTTTGTTTTTGTTTTTGTTTTGTTTTGTTTTGTTTGTTCTTTCATTGTTTGTTTTGATTTAGTTTGTTGTTGTTGCTGTTGTTCGTCAATTAACAATGTTTAAGGATTCCCAGTGTATGATAATTAATTCAAAACAACATCTCCTGTGCAATATTCATAAGTGTAGAATGAGAATTATTTGTGTACAGATAAGTAATAATTTACAAGATTTTATACACCGATTTTTCAAGAACATTTTATTGATGGGATGATACAAATTTTTAATCAGCACAGCATCTAGATAATTTCATTGACCAATGGCTTCTAACGTAAAGTTTTTGGAATGACTGCACCCTCTATTCCTACATCCTACTGTATAATTATACAACAGCAGTGTCATTCTCAGAGATAAGATGTGTGTAAATTTGTGTGTGTCAAGCTACTTTTTGGTTAAAACTCAGTTCGTTCTTATTGTAGTGGGATTTTCTATCTAGGACTAAATTGTAATTTAGTTCTGGAATTTCCGGCAACAGGGGTTTCATTAAAATAGTGCTAAAAGTACTGCATGGTCCACTTTTTTAGTTAGCACGGATGACTGGTAGGTCAATCAAAGCGATACGATACTGATCTGTTACTGTTGTTAACGTAAAGGTAGGGCTTTAGTAGTCTTTTTTCTTTTCATTTGCTTTTCCTATTTTTAATTTTGACTCTCTATTCTTTTCTTACTACTGAATGGGTACATCCCTTTTAAAAACAGATGCATCAGAGAGAGAGAGGGAATGGAATTAGACAGAGAAAGAAAGCGAGAAAAAGAGATAATTATACAGAGAGAACAATCTTCATGAATTTTTACATTCAATGAAATACATTGATCCTTTATATATATATATATATATATATATATATATATATATATATATATATATATATATATATATATATATATATATATATATATATATATATATATATGAGAGGAATGTCAACGAATATTCGAATACTCGACTATCGTTCGATCATACCGACTATCGACTAAAATGATTTAATCGGTTATTCGTTAAAAATTTGCTACCTTATAGTAATCTTAAATTCAAGGTAAAAAGATTGGATCCGCTCAGTTCATTTATTAACGTATCAGTGTTCAGTGTTCTCGTCAGTAAAACTCAGGGAAAGGCTAAAGCAGTCTTGTTAGTTGTTCAAAGGAATTTTTGGTTCGGAAAACAGGCATTGAAACACTTTAAAAGATGTCAGACCTAAATTGAAAAGTTTCAACCTGCAATTCCGTAAGATGTTGTGTAATGCAACTATCAATTAATGAAGAATAATTAAAAAGCTGTTACATATTTGAAGATACATGTAAATTGAGGAACAGTTATGAGCGTAATTCAAAGGTGTTTCTTTCTGATATCAATATCAATCATTTAAAATTGTATTGATTGTTTTCAAAACATCTCTTACTTCATGTACTTAAAAATTTATCCCAAGCTCTCTTTGTTTTTATAAGAGTTACGCTTTGAAGTCATATTTAGCGTATTTTTGATAAGTTCGGGTAACCAAAATTCAAAAGATCCTTTTATTTCTTTTATTACTTTATATAAAGATAGGACTTTTCTGTAAATTACACAATTTAAATCAATCGCATTTCAAAGTTATCAATAATTTAAAACAATAACAAATTTATTTACCGACTCCACATTTAAATAACGAACAAATTCAAAGTCAATTTAACTACAGAAACGTGAGGTTATTCAAGTTAAAAGTATGTGAAAATTTTAATTTGAACGTAAGTGATATATAACATGTAAATCAACTCTCAATCTCGTATCATTATTTTTTAGCTCAGATACACCTCATATACATGGCCGTAGGAACCGGGGGGGGGGGGGGCGTGCCCCCCTCACTAATAGAAAACATAACTACTAAATGCTTGTGCCCCCTTCATAATAACGTCTGATGACCTTTTTTTGGCTTATCAAGAAATTTTTGTTAGTTGAAACTGAAAACGTATGGTTGTGCCCCCTCCCTCCAAAGTGAGATTGCTTCCTACGGGTCTGATATATATTTAATTATTTAACAATCACGGGTCACTGACAAGACGCATTCAAATGGCTTCATGTAAGAAATCAATAACGGGTACATATACTAGCATCAGCATGAAAAGAAAGGATAAATGCGAGCGTTTTTAATTCTGTATATAGATAAAATGGGCAGTAATTATTATATTTGAAATCAAATACGTTGGTTTCAAATACGTTGATTTTACCAAAATCAACAGCTTAAAAACTTACGACTTTTCAACTTTATACACAACCATTCCCCACGATAAATTAAACTCCAGGCTTTTTGATATCATTGACAGCTGCTTTTTCAATAAAAATGGAACTCGTAGATTTACGAACCTTGTCATTGGTCACTTGCAAAATTATTTTGTTAAAAAACATTCTGATTGTACACACAAGTACTCTGAAGTTGACATTAAAAAGATGCTTGAGTTTCTGATTCACATTATCTATGTGGTTTTTGGAGACCAGGTCTTCCAACAATATATTGGAATTCCCATGGGTACCAATTGCGCCCCGTTATTAGCAGACCTTTTTTGTATTCATATGAAGCAGAATTTGTCCAAAATCTTATACGTGATAAGAAGAAAACACTTGCTGTGGCCTTCAACTCGACATTTAGATATATCGACGACGTATTGTCAATTAACAATTGTTATTTCCATTCTTATGTCGATACGGTATATCCCGGTGAACTTGAGATAAATGATACTACAGAGTTTGACACATCTGTTTCATATTTGGATATTTTACTTGAAAAAGACGTTATGGTAATCTAACTACCAAGCTTTATGATAAACGTGATGACTTTAACTTTTCAATCGTCAACTTCCCTTACTTATGCAGCAATATACCTTCATCACATGCGTACAGGGTTTATATCTCTCAGTTGATTCGATACGCAAGAGCATGCTCTACGTATGTACAATTTCTAAAACGAGGTAAATTATTGACAAACAATTTGATGAAACACGAATATCAGCAGTCTCGTTTAAAGTCATCATTCCGTAAGTTCTATGGTCGATACAATGACATTGTCAGCAAACACAATTTATTGTTGAGTCAAATGCTGACTGACGTTTTTCATACTAATTGTTAGGCCATTATTTACACACTGAATTGTCGACGAATTTTTTCCGTTATTTCTCGATCATGACAAGGAGCACACGGCGAGTGTGACCGGTCGGCAGTGGATGCTCACTCCTCCATGGCACCTGATCCAACCTCTGATGTTTTGGAGGTCCGTATTTGCTCTGCACCTATTTTGTAATGTTTAATGGACTTTTGAGCTTGAATACTGTTCTTTATCTCATTGGATACATATATTTGTTAATTCGTAAATGTTAACGATTCACTAATTCGTTGTATAATGGTCATAGCGTAGTTTACATATTGTATAGGCTATATGTCTGATAGAGACGAATAGGAAAATGACATGGAAAATTAATTTAAATTAAGTACTCGACTATCGTTCGACTAAAGCCTCCGACTATTCGACTAAGTTGTCCGAATAAAATTGACATTCCTAATATATATATAGAGAGAGAGAGAGAGCACAAAAAATTCACTTTTATAAGGATACCCACTTCCGCCCCAGCCTGGGGTTGAACTCTCGACCTACGGAATCTCTCTCCTAGCAGTACAGGAACAGCGCGCTAGACCGCTCGGCTATCTAGGAAAGTCCTGATATTTGCCTTCGATGCCGATGGAATTCTCGCGGTGCTGCCCTACATGCTACACGGTCATTGAGAATGGAAGTGGGATACAGTTATTTGGATAATAGTTTTATTAGAGTACCGTTACCAATAAACGTTGTAAAGAATTTGATTTTTTATTTATAAAGCACATTTACAACAACTCTTAAACTAACATAAGTGCCCAATATATATACATACAAATTCGAAGCAGAGAAAACACGAACCTTTAAAACATTAGAGGTGGGATTAAGTGCCATGGAAATCCCCTGTCGACCGGCCTCGCTCGAATTGTGCACCTTGTCATGATCGGGAAAACGGAAAAATCCGTAGATGATTCAGTGTGAAAATAATGGCCAAACAATTCGTAAGAAATCAAAGCTTTACAAAGTAATACATAGAAAAAATCTTCAAAAATTTTCTTCTCAAGAACAGCACAGCCATGATATGTCATATTCATATGGAAGCATCCATAGGTAGCGTAGGTTCAAGATTGTTCAAATCATGCAAATCATTACCCCCGGTAATAGGGAGGGGCCACAATGGGCGATTAGCTTTTTACATAAAAATATTTCTTCTACTCGAGAACAGCAAGCAAAGTCATGATTTGTCCTATTCATATGGAAGCATCCTCAGATAGAAGATAAACGTATAGGAAAAAATCTTGAAAAATCTACATAAACCATTATTCATAGAAATATGGAAGCATCCTCAGGTAGTTAGATTAAAGTTTGTTCAAATCATGAACACCCCCTTCCCCCGGACCAATTTTATATTTAAACTTTTCAAAAATGACTGATTTTCTGTTTTTTCCTAGCCAAAATACTCAGGTGAGCGATGTGGCCCTTGGGTTTCTTGTTGTTAGTTTGTCTTTAGTGTCTCTCTCTACTAAAATATCCAATATGAAGCAGATGTGTCAGACTCTACGCTATATGGTTTGTGCTTTATAAACATTTTATTTAAAAACTTGCTTATATCTGCTACATTTATTAATGATTGTTCACATTAAGAAGATCTGATAATTTTACAAATATTCTGTTAGATGGAACAGAATGTAACTGTCCATTACAAGATAAAGAATATACATGATATAATGAGATAAGTAAACATTGTTTATACTGTTTGTATTATAATAATTGGGGAGAGATTGTACATTTACTTTAGTTTTTGTTTCTTATCATCATCATAGTCTTTTTCAGTGCTTCGTGTCTCTTTTTCCAGCTAAACCATACCGGGAATCTAGCACCAGTCACATTAGACTGGGTGTATTCTCCGTTCAGGTTTGACCTGTGACAAGCGTTGTACCACCAGGCTCCGTGATATGATACAGCACAGTTACCACCACTCTTATCACTATCTTGATCTTTTGTGCTTCATACCATTGTGAGGATAAGTCAAACTGTCACCTGGAATAGGTATTCGTACCATTTAAAAAGTATCAAATGATGTAGTACAGTTATAAAAACTATAGTTGGCATCGCCCTGTCTATAAATTGTACAACATCTAGATGAATTTAATTTGTGACATACAAATGTGTATTGTTTACATTATTCTTATATTATATTACACAATCTAATAAATTTTTAAACTAAAATTTCTAAAATATAATTTCGCATAGGTATGTGTATGAAATATGAAGATAACGAACAGTATTCAATCTCGAAAGTCCAATGAAACGATGAGAATTTGGAGCAGAGCAAACATGGACCTCAAAATTTAGAGGTGGGATCAGGTGCCATGGAGGAGTGAGCATTCCCTGCCGATTGGCCACAGCCGCCATGTTCTCCTTGTCATGATCGGAAACAAAAACCGGAAATATCCGTAGACAGTTCGGTGTATAAATAATGGCCTATCGATCAGTATGAAAAACGTCAGTCAGCATTTGATTCAATGACAGGTTGTATGTGCTGACAATGTCATTGTATCGACCGAAAAACTTGCGAAAAGGTGGCTTCAAACGAGACTGTTGATATTCTTGTTTCGTCAACTTGTTTTTCAGTAACTTGGTTCGTTTTAGAAATTGTTCATACGTAGACCATGTCTGGCGTATCGAATCAACTGAGAGACATAAACCCCATATGCAGGTGATAAGGGTATATTGCTACATAAGTAAGGGAAATTGACAATTGAAAGGATGAAGTCATCACATTTATCATAGAGCTTGGTTGGTAGACTACCATTAATGTCTTTTTCTAGTAAAATATCTAAATATGAAACAGATGTGTCAGAATCTGTGGTAACTTTTATTTCAAGCTCACTGGGATATATCGAGTCGACATATGAATGAAAGTAACTATTGTTAATTGATAATACGTCGTCGATATATCGAAATGTCGAGTCGAAGGTCACAGCAAGTGTTTCTTCTTCTCATGCAGAAGTTTTTGAATAAATTCTGCTTCATATAAATACAAAAATAGGTCTGCTAATAAGGGTACGCAATTGGTATTCATGGGAATTCCAACAGATTGAAGGAAGACCTGATCTCCAAACACTACATAGATGAAATATATGGAGATAACGAACAGTATTCAAGCTCAAATTCCATTAAACAATACAAAATAGGAGCAGAGCAAACACGGACCTCCAAAACATCAGAGGTGGGATCAGGTGCCATGGAGGAGTGAGCATCCACTGCCGACCGGTCACACCAGTCGTGTGCCCATTGTCATGATCGGGAAATATCGGAAAAATCTGTCGACAATTCAGTGTGTAAATAATGGCCTAACAATTAGTATGAAAAACGTCAGTCAGCATTTGACTCAACAATAAATTGTATTTGCTGACAAGGTCATTGTATCGACCATAGAACTTACGAAATGATGACTTTAAACGTTGTTTCATCAACTTTTTTGTCAATAATTTACCTCGTTTTAGAAATTGTACATACGTAGAGCATTCCCTTGAGTATCGAATCAACTGAGAGATATAAACCCCCTACGCAGGTGATGAAGGTATATTGCTGCATAAGTAAGGGAAGATGACGATTGAAAAGTTGAAGTCATCACGTTTATCATAAAGCTTGGTTGTAAGATTACCATTAACGTCTTTTTCAAGTAAAATACCCAAATGTGACACATATGTGTCAAACTCTGTGGTATCTTTTATCTCAAGCTCACCAGGATATACCGTATCGACATAAGAATGGAAATAACCATTGTTAATTGACAATACGTCGTCGATATATCTAACTGTCAAGTTGAAGTCCACAGCAAGTGTTTTCTTCTTTTCACGTATAAGATTCTGCTTCATATACAAAAAAGGTCTGCTAATAATGGGGCGCAATTGGTACCCATGGGAATTCCAATATATTGTTTGAAGACTTGTTCTCCCAAAACCCCATAGATATTGTGAATCAGAAACTGAAGCATCTTTTTAATGTCAACTTCAGTGTACTTGTGTGTACTGTAATATATTGTAATATATCACTTTATTTTATACGTAATATTCGGTCGTCCAGTTCTCATACTTGTTAAATCTATGTTCATCATGTGCCTGCCAGAAAAGTTGTTCGTTTACGATTTTATTGAAAATAATATGTCAGCCTATCTTGATACGATTGTAGTAATAGCTATTATCAGCATATTTTACCTGTTTTTGCTTCATGTAAAGTCGTAGGATTTACAATATTAGGGATAAGAGGATGGATTTTACATTTCATGTTCTTGTAGCCATCATACTTTATTCGGATCGTCACTTCCGGTTTAGTGACATATTTACTATAGTTATCTATGATTCAAGTTATGAATACTGGGTCAGATTCTACATTTTAATTTGAGAGGTTGTGCATTTTGAGGCTATAAGTAGTTCTTTATTGTCAGTACTGACTTTATTATCAGTCAGCTTAATCGGGACTACATTTGTTTACGCTGTCGTTGGTAGTTACGATATTCAAATGCTACATTGTTCAGTACCTATTGTACAGCCTATGGATGTTTTATAACCATTGGAGGTATTAATTTATTCGTCTAGTCAAGTTTATTTTATGTATCCTATTTCCAATTGTTAATTTTACGCTGTTATATTTGTTAAGATATTGTACGGCAGCTTGTGTGGCAAAAATAGTTCTGTGTGGGAACTTGTGTGGGAAGTCAGCTTTCCGTACAAGCTGTTGATTTGTTGATAGTTCGTACGGCATATTTTCATTGGATAATTTGAGTCATGTGACAGGGGATAGAAGGTTATATAAGGAAGCGCGTACTACGCTACGACAGATTTCAGCTAGTTGTATGGCGGCAACATTTAAAAAGTAGAGAAGAAAAACAAAGACGATGAGATACTTATAATGTAAATTACACGTAATTAGCCAAGTTAGAAATCTCCTACCACACTGGACGACCTAAACTTGTGTTTCTGAAGAATCGGCCATGTTTTCTTATGTTGTTATGTATTCCCTATATTGTGATGCTAATGAGATGCTGTACGTACAATAAATGATAAGTATGACTGATCATTCACCTTAAGTATTATTCCACCAAGTATCTACAGAGAGAAAGTCTGGTCTATTTTACATAAGAGCAAATTAAATTGGTGCATCCTGGTAAATAGATGATTTATTTAGATGATGAAGCAATGACCTGTATACATTCTGAGGATTCAGAAATACTAGCCCTTGGGTAGCTTACAGTACCATCAGAATGTTTTTTTAACAAAATAATTTTGCAAATGACCAATGACAAGGTAAGTAAATTGACGAGTTCCATTTTTATTGAAAAAAAAACAGCTGTCAATGATGTCAAAAAACCTGGACTTTAATTTATCGTGAGGAATAGTTGTGTATAAAGTTGAAAAGTCGTAAGTTTTTAAGCTGTTGATTTTGGCAAAATCTTGTGATTTCAAATTTTCCAACAGTTTCTTGGAATTTTTAAGTATCCACATCTAATTTACACAACATCTCAAATATATTGTTGCACAGTACTCTTGAAGTCAAAAAGCCTGTCTATTTATTTATAAATGTATTTTCCTTTGCGTTTAATATATCAGTTGATTCAAAAACCTCATGAGAAGAACACTCTTGCTAAGGCATACGACTCAACATTCAGATATATCGATAAATATATACATTTTATCTATTAACAATATAGTTACCTAGATTCATATGTCGACTCTATATATCCCAAAGAATTTGAAATAAAAAATAAAAGACGCCACATAGTCTGTCACATCTTTTCCGTATTTGGGTGTTTTACTGACTATAGATGATAGACCAACACTGTATGACAACGAGATGACTTCATTTTCTCTTGTCATCTTCCATTATTTATGAAGCAATATTCTTACATCATCTGCATATGATGTTCATGTCTCCCAACTGACTCGATGCAAGAACATTCTCTGAATACGATCGTATTTTAAACCAAGGCAAACTACTGACAAATAACTTAATGTTAGGATAATTTAAACGACCCGTTTAAAGTTAGTTTTTTCTTTTAAAGGTCTTTATAATCACATTGTTTTTACATACATCCTATGATTGGGTCGCATTTTGTCTGACGTATTTCATACTATTTGTTTTTTAATGCTTTCATACAAAATTTGCCTACGGAGTACTCCGTCAACCTGATCAATACGTAGAGTCATAGCGGATGTAACCAGTTGACAGGGAATGCTCACTCCTCATAGGCACCTGATCCTACCTGTGGTGTTTCCAGGGGTCTGGCTCTTTCCCCTGTTACCGATTTGTTGTGTTTACTCAATTTATGAAATTGATCACTCTTCCTTAACCTTCACTTTTACATAGATAACTTATGCTTTCATGTTATTTTTCTTTATTTCATGATCGAAAGCTTTGACATTACAACCATAACTTTGATCTAATTTTAAACGATGCATGATAATTTTTGACATTCAAATTCATGCTGTTATTTATTATTTCACCAAGCAGATGAAAGCGTTAACACCAAATAATATTATATGTTTAAATTTCTAAGAAGCCTACCCCCTGTTCCTGAAAACCCCGATACAGTGAGGTTGTATTTACTGACTTCGTCCCCGACATAAAATATGTAGTACTGAGCGTACGCTTCAGCGCCATCAAAACTTTGTAACTGAACCCGGAGTTCCTGGTCTTTGTTCTTTGTCAGCTCAAAGACTGCGTCATTTCCTTTTCAAAAAAAAAAAAAAAACAGAAAGTGTTATATTGTTTTATTTAATACACGATTGAATATGTTTTGATGCCCAGAAAGATTTTAATGCCATCTATTTGGTTTCAACAATGTCTTAGAATGAAAACAGAAATTTTTCCGCTATTTTTCCAACTACTAATAGAAAATCAGTGTTAGAATTATCACTATTAAGTAGAGTTTAATTAAAGTGTTAATATCTTTTTGGTAAATGAAATGAAATATATGGAGATAACGAACAGTATTCAAGCTCAAAAGTCCATTAATCAATACAAAATAGGAGCAGAGCAAACACGGACCTCCAAACATCAGAGGTTGGATCAGGTGCCATGGAGGAGTGAGCATCCCCTGCCGACCGGTCACACCCGCCGTGTGCTCATTCTAAATTATTTTTATGCGACTAAGTTTCATTTTATTACAAACGAAGGTATTATCTAGTATTGCAGAGCTAAAATTCCCCTGCAGGCTCAAGTGAGCTTTTCCGACTGAAGATTTTTCGTAGTGTGTCGTGTGTCTATTGTCGCCTGTAAACATTTCGCAGTTTCCATTTCACTTCCACACCAACGAGGCCAATTTTAACCAAACTTGTCACAAAGCATTCTTGAGTAAATCGCTTTCAAATTTGTTCAAAAAAGGACCGCGCCTTTTTCAAGGACAAATAATTAGAAAATAATAAAAAAATTGGTGGCATCTTTTTGAATTTTTTTCTCAAACAAGAAAATATTAAGTATACATAAAAGCTTCCTGACATCGTGTGAATATGTGTTTGTTCAAATCATGTCCCCTAAGGATATAAAGGGGTCACAGTAGGGGATAAATGTTTAAAAAGGGAAATGATATGAAATGATATTTTTTAAAAAAAAATTCTTTTCAAGAAGAATGGGACAATGATAAGATAAATTAGTATACAGGCATCCTTAGTGGTGTAGATTTAAATCGTGCTCCAGGGGTAGGGTGATGCCTAAACGGGGTGTCAAAGTAGGGTGGGGTTTCAATAAGGAATCGAAATATTACATTGCAATATATAGGTAATAATCTTTAAAAAAAAATCTTCTTCTCAATAACATCGAAAACCTTGATAAGTAATATTTACTTGCAAGCATTCGCAGGTAGTACAGATTCAAATTTGTTCAAATCATGCCGCCAGGAGTTAATGAGGATGCGAATATATATATTGGAAATCTCATCAAGAATAACAAGGTGCTGATTTTTGACATTTAATATAAAACATCCTAAGATAGTTCATATTCAAATTTTCTAGAATCGTAGCTCCGCATTAGGTTGGGATGACAATAAGTGAACAAGAGTAATTTCATAATCTTTTATTTCCTTAAGAATAGGATTGTGTTTAAATCGGGAGTAAGATTTTACTTCTGTATGCAGGTAAAATAATTCTTAGATTCTTTTCTTAAGATCAAAGCTTTTATTTGTTAAATTCATTGTGGAGAATTCCATCTTTTGTTGATTCAAATTCGGTTAAATCATGACTTGATGGAACTAGTACAGACACGCAAAGGGTCACACATGATTAGGAAAATGGTAATTTTACCTAATTTTGCACACGATTAACCATGAAGTTCTTATATTTTTTAAATACATGGCGTCCTTTATACCAAAGAAATAGTCAAAAGTATGTACAATTTTATTTTATAAAGGAGTAAATGGGTTTATTTTTTTTAATAAGAATGAGGCTAAACTTACCAATCCAGTAATTTTTAGATGGATCACCAAATCCTTTTTTATATTCTCTCCAATTCCGGTAAAAGTATGTGGAGCCGTCCTCTCTTCTTTGTATTGCCTTTAAGACATTATTTGATTTTTAACACTTGCTTTGAAATTTAGAAAAAATAAACTGTATATGATTTTTAAACCAAGGCAAGCTACTGACAAAAAAGTTGGTTAAACAAAGATTTTAACAGTTTAACGTAATTTTTCGCAAGTTCTACGTATCATTTGTTATGTTATTGCTTTTATACTTAATCTGCTAATCTGATCAATACATAGGGCTCACGGCGGGTACGACCGGTCGAACGGGAATGCTTAGTCCACCTAGGCACTTGTTTCGAACTCTAGTGTTTCCAAGTGTCGTAATTTTGCCCTGTTCACGATTCGTTTTGTTTACTGGATATATTACATTGATCACTGTTCGTTATCCTCATCTTTACACTGACAAGTACTCATATAGTCAAAATGACTCAACATGACAGTGAAAGAAATTTCTTTTAGACTAGATATTTTCTTCACTTTATAACAAGTTGTACTCACCGTCCAACCTCCGCCATCAGTACTCATATCACAGTAAACAAGCTTTTCTTCAGAGGCAACGAATACTGTGTATAATCCATCTCTTCCCAATAAAGTCGGGTATTTTCGTAAAATGTCCCAGCAATTCTTTGAAAGCACTGTATAAGTATATTAATTCTTATTCATAAGATGAATGTTGCTGTAATATATTATTAAACAAGGATCGCTGGTTGTGAAAGATTTGTGAGGGTGTATAGTATACATTTATTCACTGGCTCTGAGTTAGATAGCTCTTTTATACAACCTGCATCAGGAATGAATTATTCCCCTAGGGCTTGCCCGAGAGGAAAAGTTACTATAAAGGATTCAAGACAGAGCTATCCCATTCACAGCCATTGGATAAGGTTTTATTATACACTGTACTGATGTATATTATAATTTCTGAGGGTTGGATAGCACATTTTATAACCTGGGGTATAGCTTTGTGGAACTCTTCATTGTTGGAGAAGTTGTCGTCTAATCATATTGCGGTAAATCAAAATTAGCGGCAAAAATTGAATGAAATTTTCCAAGGAGTGGATAACACAAACTATACCCCTTGAATATAGGTTTGCTAAAAGTGAAAATTTTCAAACTATTAAAAACTTATTTTACTTCTTAACTTCACATATAATAATTAAAAAAAGGTCATTGTATCGATCATAGAACTTGCGAAATGATGACTTCAAACGAGACTGTTGACATCCTTGTTTCATCAACTTGTTGGTTAAAAGCTTGCCTCGTTTTAGAAACTGATCGCACGTAGAGCATGCTCTTGCGTATCGAATCAACTGGGAGACATACAACCCATATGCAAGTGATAAGGGTATGTATTGCTGCATAAATAAGAGAAGCTGACGATAAAAAGTTGAAATCATCACGTTTATCATAAGTTTTGTTGTAAGGTTAAACGTCTTTTTCTAGGAAAATATACAAATATGAAACAGATGTATCAGATTCTGTGGTATCTTTTATTTCAAGTTCACTGGGATATATCGAATCGATATATGAATGGAATGAAATATATGTAGATAACGAACAGTATTCAAGCTCAAAAGTCTATTAAACAATACAAAATAGGAGCAGCGCAGACACTGACTATAGTACTGTATGTATTGTAATGTAACTATTGTTAATTGATAATACGTCTTCGATATATCTGCATCGATAGATGGGATCAACAAAAAAGTTGTACAATGAGAGAAATAAAAAATAAATATCCGCCCGCCTATATAGATTTATTTTTAAAAAATCGGATGAGAATCTAGGATTTTTTTGGTTATGGCCATAGTGCTCAAATGAATAAGTAAATGGAATTGAAGTTGTATGGTAATCAATCCTGTGCATCAATTGGAGAGCAAGGGCATATTTTTTAAGAACAACCGTCAGTGAACAAACATCAATGATTAAAAAATCATAAATTCAAGCTTAAAGCATGGTATAGCTTTTATTTGAATGAATTAGTATCATTCCTTATTTTACGAACAACTGAAAATGTATCATAAACGGTAAAAAAAAATCTAAATTTACCAAAGACTCAGTAAAACTATAGCGTTTAATAAAAATAGTTTTGTATGTTCTGATCTATATACAGATAATATTGTGCATTCATTTGTGTGAAGAGAAGTGGATATTGTAAGAAGCCTTGTTCCACTGATGTGCTACTAGGTAAATATTTACTCAAAAAAGACCATTTACATGTACCCCTGCTAAAGCTTTTATAAATGTTCGAACAAAATGTCAGACAAGGAAGATAAAAACCAGAAGAAAATATTAATAACCTTAAACAAAGAGATTTTAATTTCTTTATGTGAGTTTGGATTGATCATGCTTTAAAAAAATTTAAAAAGAGATAATTTTGTGTGTTTGTTTTAATATCTAGTATATTTTACACTCGATCGTAATACATGTTTATCCACTGACCCTTGAAAGGACGATAAATATTCAACAAATAAATCAAAAACTTTCTTTTAAAGGATTGCTCCGAATATAACCTTTAAATATAATTCCAAGGTAAATTATAATGAATGCTATACCTTTTGACGATATCCATTTCAATTCATTCACGTCCAAACGAACATTCTCTAGTGTTTCATTGAAAGGAACCAAAATACTTTTTAACATGTCCTCTGTCTTTTTCACTCTTCTAGCAATGTCTATACTACCTTGTAATGTCGCGTTCATTTCATTTATTTCATCTCTGAGAACCTCAATTTCTGTAGTTATTGCACGGTCATTGTTTTTGAGGTTCAAACTTTTATTTTTTACATCATTTTCAAGATTTTTTATTTTTCTGCGGTTGCTTTCAACGGTAATAATTTGCGATTCATTCAAGGTTTTTATTTTCTCCAATGTCATATTTTTATTGTCATTTACTGACCCATTCATCACCTTTAACTCCTTCTGAAGTTTGACATTTTCTTCCTTCATTATTCGGCTTTTTGTCTCTAAATCCTTTAATTCCTTTGTCACCTCGCTAAGTTTTGTCTTAATACCTTGCCTATCGTGTTTGTTGTCTATGGCATCCATAACTAGACTTTGTATTTTTTGTACCATAGAGAAACGGACCAGACTTTCCTGATTCAGAATTTCCCGTAGGACATTTGAAGCTTTATCGGTTACAGTACTAGGCAACAAACCATTCTTATCAGAAGTTTTGCTTTCAGTTAAAGGTAATAGCCCAAATATTCCGTACAAGTAAACGGAGAGTATTAAACATAGTACTTGTAGAACCCCCATCCTCACAGTAATAATTGAGGAATAAAAGAACTGTTTAAATATATTTTGCAACACTGGGTGTTGATGATCTAAGCAATACAAGTATTACTAAAAGAATGTTGTTTTTTCCGCTGAAAGGATGACTTGATACTTGATATGCTTTTGAAAAAACAATGGATACTTTATCCCAACTGAAAAGTGTTTCTCTGCTCTACTTGCTAATATATGCACTTATTTAGTTTCTGATCTCACGAGTCCTTAATGTATATGAGGAAGCCTGAATCATAAACTCTTTGCTTGTTAATCTAAAAAAAAAATACTTAACCCAAGAAACAAGCTTTTCAAATGATTTATTTTTGGCAATTGAGAAAATTGTCAGGAAGGGATAGACCGTATGTTTTTATGTTTTCATGTCAAACAATGTGAAAATGAAAGTCATGTCTAAGTCGTGCTTATCTGCTCTCTCTCTCTCTCTCTCTCTCTCTCTCTGCCATTAAAACAGAACTCTTCACACATTTTTGACATGTAGATCCGTATGAAAATATTTCCATACTTAACATTTTACTTACGGAACGACACAAACGCCGGACACATGACATGGCATTAGAGAAACCCTTGTACGAATAGAAGTATTGGAGTAAATTGTACATGTAAGCATAGATATACAATAATTCAGTTAAGCTTATTGATGTGTATCTGGAGAAACAAAAGCAGTTCGTGAGGTCAAGCAATTTCCGCTAGCAGCGACTGTCTTTGTGTCTTTGTGAAAAATCTGCATTCAAAGAAGAGCACTTTCTGATTGAAATTTCCATAGGAACTTTGTATTACAGTATTTGTTGTACTAATAATTGTAGTGTAAATCATTTCATAATTGTTCAAAATACGAATTAACAAGCGTCCCCCGCTTGAGAAAGAAGAGGATATGCAGATGGGGGGTTGGGGGGGGGTTGGACCCCTGGATTTGCAGAATTATGTAACGTATATACTGAAGGAAATCCAAAAAAATGCCAATTTCATTGCTTCTTCTTTAAAATGTGTACAGAAGATTCTTTCTATATAAAATATTTATCACACTGTAATAATGATTTTATGAGAAAGTTTGTACATGCCAGACATCATAACTTCTTCATTTCATATGTTGAGTACTATCATTTAGTAAAACGAAAAAAAAAAAACATTTCAAAAAAAGGGATCGTCCGGGATTTGAACCCGGGAGCTCTCACATACTTTTTATTTTTTTTTTATTTTTTTTATTTTTTTTATTTTTATTTTTATTTTTTTTTTTTTTTTGCCAAGCGAGAATCATACTCCTAGACCAACAAGGCGCTTGACATAGCAGCACATTAAATGCAAACAGTAGGTCAAAATTTTACAAAACACATGGTGTCTAATTTAGCCTTTACTAAACAGTTCTAATAGAAGTAATTAGAATATAAAGTCCGCCGACAACCTGTATAATATGTAATGAAATTTATGGAGATAGCGAACAGTATTCAAGCTCAAAAGTCCATTCAACAATACAAATTTTGGACCAGAGCAAACACGGACCTCTAAAACATCAGAGGTGGGATCAGTGATGGAGGAGTGAGCATCACCTGCCGACCGGTCACACCCGCCGTGTGCTCCTTGTCATGATCGGGTAATAACGGAAAAATCCGTCGACAATTCAGTGTGTAAATAATGGCCTAACAATAAGTAGGAAAAACCTCAGTCAGATAAATTGTATTTGCTGACAAGGTCATTGTATCGACCATAGAATGAAATATGTGGGGATAACGAACAGTATTCGAGCTCAAAAATCCATTAAACATTACAAAATAGGAGCAGAGCAAAAACCTCTGAGACATCAGAGGTGGGCTCAGGTGCAATGGAGAAGTGAGCATCTCCTGCCGACCGGTCACACCCGCGAAATGACACTTACGAAATGACGACTTTAAACGAGACTCTGATATTCTTGTTTCATCAACTTGTTTGTCAATAACTTACCTCGTTTTAGAAATTGTTCATACGTAGAGCATGCTCTTGCGTATCGAATCAACTGAGAGATATAAACCCCGTATGCAGGTGATGAAGGTATATTGCTGCATAAGTAAGAGAAGTTGACGATTGAAAAGTTAAAGTCATCACGTTTATCATAAAGCTTGGTTTTTGGATTACCATTAACGTCTTTGAGCGTGATCGATGAAAACAAATTTCCAATTGACTGTTTAAAAAAAAATGACCAAAATAAAAAAATAACGGGGCGGGACACTTTGAGAGGGGCCACAGGGATATTTGGTATAAAAGTTCACTGCAAATATAGACCGTGCTAATGAACCTACTTTGTTGTTTTGATTTGGTTTTTATGCTTTAATTGTTTTTTGCTTCTATTTTTTGTTTTGCTTGTTTTTTGTTTGCTTTTTAAGTTTTTTGTTTTGTTTTTTTTTTCTTGTTTTGTTTGTACTTTTATTGTTTGTTTTGATTTGGTTTGTTGTTGTTTTTGTTGCTGCTGTTGTTTGTCAATTAACAATATACTGGTATAAGAAATATGAAAATTATTCAGAATAACATCTCCGGTTTAATTTTTGTAAGAGTAAAAATGAGCACAATTTATGTACAGATCAGTAAAAATTTAAATGATTTTATACAAATAATTTATTAAGTACATTTCAGTGATGGGAATATAAAATTTTTAATCAATACTCCATCTAGAAAATTTCATTGATCCTAACGTAAATTTTTGGAATAACTACATCCTCTTGTAAATACAACAGTAGTATCATTTCAAATAATCTGTTATGTAAGTCTCATAAAAAATAAATTTAATTCGTAAGTTCTATGGTCGATACAATGACCTTGTCAGCAAATACAATTTATCATTGAGTCAAATGCTGACTGACGTTTTTCATACTAACTGTTAGGCCATTATTTACACACTGAATTGTCGACGGATTTTTCCGTTATTTCCCGATCATGACAAGGAGCACACGGCGGGTGTGACCGGTCGGCAGGGGATGCTCACTCCTCCATGGCACCTGATCCCACCTCTGATGTTTTGGAGGTCCGTGTTTGCTCTGCTCCTATCTTGTATTGTTGAATGGACTTTTGAGCTTGAATACTGTTCGTTATCTCCATATATTTCATTGTACATGTAGCTACTTCTACATTATAAATATTGTAATTGATTGAATTCATGTTTTAATTTGAAATACACAATTTATAATACTATATTAAACATTACATTCTGGTCTACAATAATGAACTATTTGGAAAATTTTTAGCCACTTGATCAGATGATTAAAAGAAAATATACAATATATACAATTTGTCAATTTGGACATTTTTGCACATGTTGATAATTTCTTATATGTGCCATATATTTCTGTCTCACGATATCAATACCATTACTCGTTCGTTTATTAACTTAATGGTTTAAATAGATTATGTATTTTTTTTTATTTAAGCTGACTAAACCCTGTCATCAGTCTTATAAATTAATGGCATACGGTTTTCTCCTGTTCTTGTATCTTTCTATCCTTGAGTTATTGGCTGGTTAGTAAAGTGGGCACAGATGTCAGAGATAAGATGGTCTGTGAATTTGTAAATAAGCCAATCTACATTTTCGTAGGGGAAAGGGGGTAAATTTTAAAAGGTCATTATTATCACACTGAATTGTCTATAGATTTTTCCATTTGCCCATTTATGACAAGGATCACACAGCAGGTGTGACAGGTCGTCAGGGGGTGCTTACTCCTCGATGGCACCTGATCCCACCTCTAATGTTTCTAGAGGTACGTGATTGCTCTGCTCTCAGTTTGTTTCAATGAAATTTTAAGCTTTATTACAGTTCGTTATCTTCGTATTTCATATGGTCGATACAAACACAATGTTTGCAAATATAATCTGTCGTTAAGTGAAACACTGACTGACGTTCTTCTTACAAATTGTAAGGCCATTATTTTCACACTGAATTATTTAAATATTATTTCGTTTCCCGATCATGACAAAGAGCACACAGTCATTATATGCTGTATTTTGCAAAAACAACTCAGTATTGAATTGAAATTATTAAATTAAGATAATTGAATTCTTTTCATTGATGATTTTAAGATTTTTTTATTGAGAAGAAATCCTTCACATTGGTTTACAATTTCAGCAATGGATTGTTGCTATACGGTCAAACAATGGCAAATTTCAGCATTGAAAAATGGACCAAAAAGTTAGAGAAAGGTCCAATCATCCATCCCCCTCCCATTCCCCAAAGTAGGATTTTTGAGCTTGAGTTTTTTTTTTTTTTCGCTACGGACCTTAAGGACCATCTATACACTCATGAAAAATGTTTCTTGGACTTTGAGATAGTTATATAGCTTAAAGAAGGATATTTTGAAATTAACTAATTCATTTTTTGATATAGGAAGCGTACATTTTTATGCAGAAAAAATCTTCAAACACAATGAAGAAATGATAAAGAAAAAATACTTTTGCTTACTCAGATGGAGAAAATACATTCTAATAAAGTTTTCAACTACTGTGGCTTGGTCTAACATAAGGTTTAGAATACATGTATTTATTTTAAATTATGCCATACAGTCCAGATTACAATTTATTCTATTTTATTTCAAATGGTGGATCAGTCTAACTACATTAAAGTACCCTGAAATTAGTGTGCAGTGTAGAGAAGGTCCTTAATCCACAAATAATAAGACTGATAAAATAGCATTTATCATTAAAAAAAATCTGACAATCAAATAGAAATATGATTCCCCAACCCTCAAATCTAACGAGAAAAACGAAATATCAGAAATAATTATTATTAATTAATTGTCATTTTGCAAACAACTATCCCCCTTAAGATATCTAAGTCTTTCTTCAGTCTACAAAAATCCTTTCGGTATACCAATTACGAGGTATTTTCATAGTATTTAAATTTCAGTTTGTGCGGTATCTGTATAGCATACCGTTTCAAAGTACAGTGTCATGAGCTCATATACATGAGATATAAATGCTAA